TTTAATTTATTGTAGAGATGAGGTCTCGCTGCCCAGGCGGGTCTCGAACCCGTGGGCTCAGGCAATCCATTCACCTCAGCCTCCCAAAGGGGCAGGATTACAGGCCGAGCCACTGAGCCTGGCTGACATTTTCTTGTTTTGTTTGCCTTACTATGGAGGATGTAATACCTAATTAGCATTTATTGTCATTTCAAAGGTGATGTTCTGAATATTGATCCAATGAAATTTTATACACATCTCTACAAAACACTGTTCAAGTTGCATGCAGGTATGTATATTTAGATGTTTCTTTAATACATATTTATTTTTTAAGAATATGTAATGACCAGACTTATAGTCAATGACAAATGAGAATTAGGAACAGGTACATAAAATGCTGGCCCGCCAGTGCCATGTGTATTTATTTAATCTTATGTAAGACTTGGATAGAGAACTTCTGGAATTGACTGGAGATGCCGTAACAGAGCCCACTGCACCTCTTAGTGGTGCAGCCCTTCCTGTTGACTAGGGAAATAGTGGGGGACAGTTACAACAGTTCATCATGGGTTTTTCTGTAGTTCAGTGAAGATACATTATGAAAACAGCCCTGAAGGGTGTGTCTGCTGTTTCAGGTGCCACTAATGAGGGTGTTGAGATTGTACTGCAGTGCCTTGATGTCATGCTAACTAAGCGCAGAAAGCAGGTTTCTCAGCAGCGAGCCCTTGCCTTCATCAAGCGCCTTTGTACCCTTGCTCTGCATGTTCTTCCGAATTCAAGTATTGGCATTTTAGCAACTACCAGAATATTGATGCAGGTAAGTAATGATACAGGTGAATAGAGATAGATTCTTATCGTGCAGCGATTTGTTTGTTTGCTTGGTGCATGTCTTTTTCCCCACTTTTACATGACCATTTTAATTACAAAATTAATTCATGCCTATAATGAAATCAGATGACAAAAGAAGTAAATAAAATTACAAAGAGGAAGGCATTCTACACCTATTGGCCCCGCCCCGAGTGTCACTGGGTTGGTATCCACCTACCCTGTGGTGAGTATCCTTCCAGTAGCCTTTTAAACATTCATATATGCCAGGCTTGGTGGCTCAGCCTGTAATCCCGCGCTTTGGGAGGCTGAGGTGAGTGAATTGCCTGAGCCCGCGGGTTTGAGACCCACCTGGGCAGCGAGACTAAATGAAAAGGGCATCATGCTACATACATTATGGTTCTACAGCTTTTTTAAAAAAGAATTTTGTCATGATAGACACATTTTTGCTTCAGTGCATGTATTATTACTTTATCTCTTTAATGACAGTGTAAGGCTTACTTAGTTTTTTGTGTAACAAACACTTTTATAGTTCTGACTGTATGCTTGCCACTGTTAGAAATGCTTTACAAAAATTAACTCACTTATTTTTCATAACTCAGAGATAGCTGTTATTTTTCCCTCTTTACAGATGGGAAAACTGAGTTCCCCTCTAAGTGGTAGAAGTGTGATTCAAATTTAGATGGTCTGACTTTTGTGTTTCTTTTTATTTCTCTTGCTGGATGTAGGTTATTTCTTTTTTTGCTCTTATACGTGGTCTTACTGTGTTGCCCAGGCTGATCTCAAACTCCTGACTTCAGCAATCCTCTCCCCTCCACCTTCCAGAGTGCTTGGATTGCAGGTGTGAGCCACCATGCCCAGATGAATATTCTGTTTTCTTTTGCAAGATGAAACAAATTCTTTTCAAAGCAAGCCAAGATAAAACATCCTTTTGTAATTCTTGTTCTCTTACATTCACTTAAATTGTTTTTCATTGACGCTAGCTATAATGACCGTATGCTTATGACTCTTTTACAACCATATTTTAAATACAGATGTAAATACAAGCCAGTAACATAATTAATCCTTCTTTTCATGGTGAACTTTGTGCAGACTTTCCCAAAGACAGATCTGCTGCTTGACAATGAGTCTCAGGGAAGTGGAGTTTTCCTCCCTGAGCTGGATGAACCTGAGTACTGCAATGCCCAGAACACTGCTCTGTGGGAACTGCACACGCTACGGGTGAGAGTGACTTGTGGCTTTGGCGGGGCAGTGGGGGGCAGTTTTTTTCCATTTTTCGTCACATAGTTATTATTACCAGAGTACTTAGTTATACTTTGTTCTGGGGACATCTTTTTTTTTTTTTTTTTACAATTCTTATTCTAATATGCTACCTTTTACTTGGCTCTTACTATCTTTAAGTTGTTGAGGTACATTTTCTAGGGAAGTAGAAAATCATGGCAGTTTTGTGGGATGGGGTTGTGGAAGATGTATTGAAATCTGTCTCTAACACGGTTCAGGATAGTCGAGGATTTGTTGCCATGTCATTTGTATTAGGTTCTATCCAAGGAGACTTCGCTAGGCCCCGTTTCAAGTAGGTTTCATATGTTTCCTGATCCTGCAATACAGACAGCACTAGAGTGAGACTTGTAGAAAATACAAGTATCGGGTAGCCTGTTGTAAACTAACTTTTTCACTCTGAAAGAGAAACTCCTTTTTGATTTTTCTTGTTATACTGTAAACGCAAGACTAAGCAACAAGACTGCTAACTTGGTCATCAAGCAGATTTGTGTTTTAATCTCTTGGGCAAATATAATATTTCTTTTTGTAGGCATGTGGTTCTAATGAATTACGTATACTATGCATACGTGGTTTTAAGAAAATGTGTGAACTTTTGCTAAAGACAATTTCTGCTGTAGCTTGTATTTTGTAAAGTACTGAACCTTGCTGAATGTGGTTATCTTGTTTCCTCTTCAGAGACATTATCATCCTATAGTGCAGAGATTTGCAGCTCACATGATTGCTGGAGCACCTTCCGAAGGCTCTGAAGCACTCAGACCAGAGTTGAGTCGAAGGTAGTCAATAGCATTGCCTTATTCCAAAACTGTAAAATTAACTGGTAGCCATTTGCTACAAGAAATGTGTTTTATCAAGTAGTGTGTTATAAATTGTAAAATGCCAGTTGGTTATCTGACTTCGGTCTCACTTCCTATTTCTGAATTGTTCTAAAGAGAAAATGTGCTGGCTGTGATTGTGTTGGTTTTGGCTAATCGCCTAAAACTTTTATTTTTTTTTTTTGAGTTGGAGTCTCACTCTGTCTCCCAGACTGGAGTGCGGTGGCCGCTCCCAGCCACTGCAACCTTGACCTGCTGGGCTCCAGCGATCCTTTTGCTCAGCCTTCCAAGTAGCTGGAACTACAGGTGCACACTACCATGCCCGGCTGATTTTTTGATTTATTGTAGAGGTGAGGTCTTGCCAAGTTGCCCAGGCGGGTCTCGAACCTGTGGGCTCAGGCAATCCACTCACCTCAGCCTCCCAAAGCGTGGGATTACAGGCTGAGCCACCGAGCCCGGCTTAAAACTTTTTTTTAATCATGAAAAGAGAAAAGGAAAAGAAAAGGAGGAAAAAATGAGGAGAGGGAAGAAAAAGAGTGCTTTGGAGCACTGCCAGAAGGGCAGTGGTTTCTTTCCTTGGCCCTTCGCTCTTGTAGGCTACCTCCCGGTCTATGAGAAGCTTGGATGGCTTCCAGTCTGCCTAAAAGGGTTTCTTTTCCCTGAACGTTTTATTTTGAAAACTTTCACAAGTACACAAAATTTGAAAACTAGTAATTTGCCTTTTTTCGCACAAACTCATTTAGTAAATACTTCAGATATACAGAAAAGGAGAGGAATTCTATCGATTTCTGTGTCTTAATCTGTTTATGTTGCTATGAAACATGCCTGAGACTGAGTAATTTATAAAGAACAGAAACGTACTTTCTCACAGTGCTGGAGGCTAGGAAGGGCAAGATCAAGGTGCTGGTAGGTAGGTGTGATTGACCAGTGAGGGCGGCTTCCACTTCCCAGAAGGCACCTTGTTGCTGTGTCTTCTGGAGGAGAGGAACACTGTGTCCTCGTGGCAGAAGGGACAGAAGGAGAGCAGGGCCACAGGCTGCATGAAGCCTTTTATATAAGGGCCTTGATCTCATTCACAAGGGAGAAGCCCTTATGGCTTAATCATCTTGTAAGGACCTTACCTCTTAATACTATCATGTTGGTCATTAAGTCTCAGTCCTTGAATTTTGTAGAGAATACATCCAAATCATTGCAAGGTGATATCACTTTGCAGTGTGCTCACCACTCATAATTAACATTTTGGTTTAGATTTTTTCCTTTTGCAAGCCCACTGGCTTCTTGAATTCAGAAATCAAGATAGATGACTTGTGGGCCAGGCCAATTTTTCTAGCCTCTTGGAACTTGAAACAAAAATTGAATTAGTTGCTATCTTTCACATGTTGGAAGAATTCACCTAAAATTCACGTTTCCAGCTTCTCTTGAACTACTGGAGATTTGGCAACACTGGCAACACTCTATTTTACATGGCAATAGTCATTCAGCTGCTGGCCCTGCTATATGAAGCATGAGCTCTGTGAACTCTGCAGTTGTCCTTAAGCCCTTTCCTTCTGGGTAGGGTAGAGATAATTTTTGGCCTTACTAAATAATAAAATAGCCATTTACTTTCTCCTTTTTTCACACTCCACCTGTCTCATGCTCACTCTTCCAGCCTTGTTTTTGTTTTATTTTGCTTTGCTTTTTTGAATCAAGGTCTCAATCTGTCGCCCAGGCTAGAGTGCATTGGCAACACAATTATGGCTCACTGCAGCCTCAACCTCCTGGGCTCAGGTGATACTTCCACCTCAGCCTCCTGAGTAGATGGGCCTGCATGTGTACACCACCACATTTGACTATTTTAAAAATTTTTTTGTAGAGATGAAGTTTTCCTATATTGCCCAGGGTGGTCCTCACCTCCTGGGCTCAAATGCTTCTCCCACTTTGGCCTCCCAAAGTGCTGGGATTATAGGCGTCGTCTGGCACAGCCTTGTTTTTTAAAAAGGGGGAAAAAAGAGAAAACCTTTCTTTGTCACTTCTTTTTAATGATCATTTTCTGACTGGTTCCTTTTTTGTGCCAGATGTTTCCTTTTGTGGAGAAAGATGAGGAATGGTTTTATCCCAGAGGCTTGAGAAAGCAACTCATAGCAGTCTTCTGGAGAATGGAGCTTGGGATGTGAGCCTAATCACAACCCTTGTTTGGTCCTTGCCTGTCTCCTTTGGAGAATATGAACTAAGACCAAATCATTAAGGACTCATTTACATGCCTTGGGTATAATTTTGTCCTTAATGGTCTTTCCTTGTTTTTCATCCAAACCAACAGCTGAAGGGTGAGCTGTGTTTGAGTCCATGGAGGCTAACTCCATGCTTTACTCCTGGCTCCCATGACCAATTTGACTTAGTTGCATATATTCACATCACTGTAGTTGAGTTGGGATATGATCACACTGAACTGGAGGCCTTTGACTTAGCTTTTCTCTGGGCTCCATGCCTGTGTTTCCTTCCCTCCCTCTTTTCCTCCCTCTCACAAACAGGGTCTCCATCCAGACTGGAGTGCAGTGGCATGATCACAGCTCACTATTTTGAACATCTGGGTTCAAGTGATCCTCCTGCCTCAGCCTCCCAAAGTGCTGGGATCACGGGTGTGGGCCTCTACGCCCAGCCTGTGCCTATATTTCTAAATGTATACCAGACCTGAGATCGATTTAGTTGGATAATGTTATCATTGCATGGGAATTTAGGATTTAAGCGAGCAGGTTGTATTTCTGAGATATGTGGATATGGTGGTATCTTTACATTTTTATACTTGCTGTTATAGATCTGCTGCTGAACTTTTTGAGGCTTATAGCATGGCAGAAATGACATTCAATCCTCCTGTTGAATCTTCAAACTCCAAAATAAAGGTAGTGATACTTGTCATTTTTTAAAAGAAGAAATAAAAACTAAATGTATATGTCTCAATAACTCTCACTCCAGCTTGCTTAATTGTTTCACAGGTAGGTTTTTTTCAAGTTTAGAGGTTGATGGTGGGATGGATGTCGGATTGGCATTCTGCAGAGATGGTCATGAAACTGTTTCATTCCATACAGGATATGGTCAGGACTTGACCAAGCCTTCATCATTGTGTTTTGTGTGTTGGTGACAGCTGGTTGCCATTTTCAACTTTGCTTACAGCTTGGTTTTTGCTTACGGCGTAAGTAACTTAACTCATATGTATTCTTAACATTTTTTTCAGGCTAAGGTTTTACAAGGGGATTCATTTTTGAATGAAGACTTAAATCAACTAATCAAAAAACATTGCAATGAAGTGGGAACTCAGTCACCCCTGGATTTTACCAAATATTTGGAAACAACGCTGTGGTAGAAGAATGAAGTCAGTGGACTTTCTGGTGTAATTTTGTGTGTGGGATACACGTAAAGATAAGTTGGGAACTTATGGCCGTTTTTTCATGCAAGGAACACTTCCTAAGAATGATTAGGAAGAAGAGGAGGAAGAATTACCCTTTGCATGGCACAGCATTCTGTCCCAGTTCTGAAAATGTTGTTCATTAAGGAGATAGAAAAGCTTTTTTTTCTCCGCAATATTTGGAAATTTCCTTTTCAGTGATGCTGCCTTTTTAAAACTTCTTGTACATATTAAGTTATAGTTTTTTAAAAAAAATCTATGAACTGGTTCTTATTGAAATGTAGTTGCTATATTAAAATTAGGCCATAGAGCACAGAAAAATCAATACCATGAGAACACCTTTAACCACTTAGCTACTCTTTAAATACTCTTTAAAACTCAGTATTTATTTTTATTGCGACACTATAGATGGAAATGACAAACACTCTAAATTTGAGAGAATAAATTTTTATGAAGATTTTTGAGAAAAGAAAAAACAGCTTGAAGTTGGTCCCAGGTTCATTGGCTCTTGTTGCAGGACACATCGCAAGAAGTAACCTAACTTGGCTTCTTTAAAAAGGAATGAATGTTCCTTTTGGCTACTTTCTAAGAAAGTTTGAATGTGATTCTGATCTCTTTGAAATTCTTTGCATTTTTGCCTTGGAGATGGGTGGAGGAATTGCTCCAGGGTGGAAGAACCAGGTCCAAGGCTTTCTGTTTTAGGGACAAAGGGGACCCAGTGAGGGGGACACCCCCTTCCCACCCCCCTTGGAACAGATAAAATGCCCTTTCTTAGAAATATAATTACAAAGCAGTATTTTATGTAACAGCTGTTCCCAAATTCTAGGAATGGCCTAAGAAATGAGTGTTTAGTGACCAGGTTATAAATATTCTCTACTGTGAATAGTTGAATAAAACAGCTGTTCTCTTTGCTTTCTATTTTTGAGAAATGAGAATTAAAAAAAAAAGCATAGCCACCCAACTAAATATATCTCTTATAGCTTCAAAGCCATAGAATCCAGTTACTGGTGTGGAGCTTAGAGTTCTATTTTTCTCATGAAGTAAATGAAAATAAAAATTCCATTACCATTCCAGCACAGTGGGAGATGTCACTTAACAGTGCATGTCAACCTTTTAGCATATTCTAATATACGATTTTTACAAGTACTACTGAGGTCACCTTTTTTTAGACTTGATTGTTTAATGAGAAAGGTATGAATCAGATATAAACATTTGCTTCTAATCTACCTTTAAGATATAAAACAAAGTCCAGGAATGTGATAAATATTTGTGTGGGTAACCAAGGTGTCTGTCTCCATTAAAGCACAAGTGACCAATACATGTCACAAATCATTTATTTTCCAAACATATACAAATACATTTATACTTTACTTCAGCAGCAGAAACTGTAGTTCAGGTGAAAAGTCAGTTTAAAATAGAAATTCATCAGCCCACTTTCTTTTAACTTTTTGTTACACATCACAGAGAATCACAGCGGGACTAGAAAAATTACACAACTTTATTTGAATATTCTATGTGAATTTGAGGATGAAATATATTTGTGCATTAACTATGTAACCTTATATTGATGGATTTCTTTTTCAGAACCAAAGGTTGTAGTCATTAGTAACACACACATACACACATACACACATGCACATACACTCTGAGGCTATACTAAGCTATAAACTTAATTTTTTTAACTAGACAAATATTGAGCACCTACTGTGTCCTTAGCACTATGCTGGCACTTCAGAGTGAGGTGGAATAGTAATAGGCATAAAGACATAGCCTCTGTCTTCCATGATTTGTCTTGCTAAGTTGAGTCATTCATACAACACTTAAAAAACACGACATTACCCAATTCAGTGTCAGGATTGAGTTGTGTCTAAAGTTTAGAGACCTGTGTCATCTGAAATAGGGACGGTTTCAGAGGTCTGCTGAGTAGCAAGCGTGAGCACAGTGAGTTTTGAATTAAGAGATGTGTGAGAGTAGCTTGGTAACCACGGAGATTCCGTATGTGTTTCAAGGGTACTAATTTCAGGTAGCCATCAGCCAAGGATTGCATTCAGGAAGTTGACACAGACAGAGGGCAGAGAACACGTAAATTATTAAAATACATCATGGAAATGTTGGCTCAAATCTGGACTTTGTGTAAGAGGCAATCTCCCTTTTCTCTCTAACTTTTTGGGGGGCCCAAGTATTCACCTTGTTTGGCCTCACTGCTCATGTGAGAGAAACAACTGTAGAGGTGAATAGAGACTGCGACCTTGAGAGCACTTTCCCTACAGGCCACGTCTCACTCTGCCAATAGGAGATCCCAAGATACATCCTCTTCTTCATTGGCAAGGGAGTGGAGTTGTAGAACTTTGTGTTTTAGAATTAATTCAATTTTACCGAACAAGCCCTGGTTACTTTCAGAATTAAGCAAGTCATATGGGTGTCTAAGCAGAGGAGGAGAGGTCTACAGAGATGCAGGGGAAGATGTAGTTAAAAACGGGAAACTGAGGTTGGGCACAGTGGCTCATGCCTGTAATCCCAGTGCTTTGAGAGGCTGAGCCTAGGAGTTTGAGGTTACAGGGAGCTATCATCGTGCCACTGCACTCTCCAGCCTGGGCAACAGAGTGAGACTGTGTCTCTAAAATAAAAGGAAAACTGGTATGTATCATAGGGGTACATTTCTTTTCATGAATGAGCCTCAGTGTCTCCAGGCCCACTGAGATGGGAGACCTTTATGAAAGCAAGTTTGGATAAAAGCACAAGCCACTTCTGACTCAGTTTTGTTGAATCTAGACTTGATATTTGTCCCAGTTGGAGAATTTGTCAATAACTTTTTCTTGCTAAAGATGACGTGGAAAGAGGCTTTAACTTGAAGGGTACTTTCTGCCCACATAATAACTTCGTATAGATGGATCCCCTGCCATTTCTACTCACTTAACACCCTCAAGCAATCTTGTATTATCATCTTGACTGATAAGATTTAGCTACCCAGATTTCTCATAGTCTAAAAAGTATGAAATGGCAATGGGTTTAGTCCTAGTAGCTAATTAGCGTAATTTCTTTGATTTGGTGTATTAATATAACTGTATAATTCAGATAAGCTTTAAATAAAAATTTCTTAATTTTGGCATCCATCAGGTTGTGCAGGTCATTTGTAATGTAATAATGGAGTAGACCCGTTTAAACATTGTGTTCTTCCTAAATTCCGAAGACACAAACACAAGGAAGAGTGTACACTTTTCCCTCCAAATGTGATGAGCAGCCAGGTTGGGATGCAACGTAGGCATAGGCTGGGCTCTTGCTTGCTGAACAACCTAAGTTCTCATTCAGTCTCAGAGTCAGTTTCAGGTTTGCGCTGTTGCCACATCAATACTTACGTTAAAGGCCATGGAGCAGGGCTGGACTGGAGTTTAGAAAACCTCAAAGCCAATTGATAAATCTCAGAATGCCCAGTCTTGCTTTTAATCTTGTTTTCATTTTGGCTCTAGCCAGTTGGACTAGCAACTCAGCTTTCAGCACATGGTAGGCCAAACCATTTGGTCTGTTAGTTTATAGAAGCTTGATAAAGTGTTTCCAGAATATTTTTAAAACAGGGAAGTGTTGTGCATTTGTTACAGACTGATTATAGGATTTAAAAGGAAATATGAGCCAGCCAGTGGTTCATGCCTATAATCCCAGGGCTTTGGGAGGTCCAGATGGGGGGATTGCCTGGATCTAGGAATTTGAAACCACCTGGGCAAGATACAAAAAAAATATTAGTCAGGTGTGGGGGTATGTACCTGTTGTCTTAGCTACTCAGGAAGCTGAGGTGGGAGGATTCATAAGCCCAGAAGTTCAAGGCTGCAGTGAGCCATGGTTATGCCGCTGCACACCAGCCTGGGCAACAGAGCAAGTTCCTGTCTCCACAAAAAAAGTTTCTCTCATTGCAGTGGGCCTGGAGACACTGAGGCTCATTTATGAAATGAAACGTCCCCCTATATGTACAGCTTGTACTGTACAAATTATATCAAATCAAGCTGGAAGAGCCTGAAGTCTGTTCTTCCAGTATTAAGACTTTCTTTTTTTTTTTGAGTTGGAGTCTCACTCGGTCGCCCAGACTGGAGTGCAGTGGCCGCTCCCTGCCACCGCAGCCTCGCCTGCTGGGCTCCGGCGATCCTTCCGCCTCAGCCTTCCGAGTAGCTGGAATTACAGGCGCGCACTACCACGCCCGGCTGATTTTTTGATTTATTGTAGAGATGAGGTCTCGCTGCCCAGGCGGGTCTCGAACCCATGGACTCAGGCAATCCACTCACCTCAGCCTCCCAAAGGCGCAGGATTACAGGCTGAGCCCGGCTAAGACTTTCACTTAATGAGAACGTTGAAAGACATGAAAACTGTGTGGTGTGTATTTAACACTTCTGTTTTTAGATGCAAAAATCATGGCGATTGTTTTATTCATTTTTATAATTGAATAAAAATGAAGGTTAGGAGTTTGTGTTTTATAATTTGAAGAAAAATATCTTAAAATTTAATGATACCAATGGAAAGATAGAGTTTGGGTTTTGCTTTAGAGGAATACATACTTCAACTTATAGCCCTTCAATTAATCAGAAATGAAGATGAAGCCATTTTACATGAAAGTCTAGCCCATTTCAGGTGTTCATAGCATACATTTTCTTTTTAGAGGTTTGTCTTCAAATAATGAGTACTACTAATGCTTCTAATCAATAGCGGTATCCAGAAAGCTATGTATAATAAATATGTAAGTACAGTGTCAGTACAAACCTTGCAAAATAAATAAATTTACCTTAAACAACAACTCAATCTACTTTCGCTTTTAAAAACATTTCTTGCTAAGACATCACAACTTAGTAGATTTTAAATTATACATCATTCTAAGTTCATTTTGTGAAAATCAAAAATGGAATAATCTGTGAGTATGTAAGTAATAACCTTAAAAAACATTATTTCTCTACGTAAAAAGAAATCCTAAAGAAAAGCCCTG